GATGCAAACATTTTTCCGTGGACTGACGCTCTTCCACTCGTCTTACTAGGTATTCGCAATACAGTGAATGTTAGTATTGTATACACTGAGCCTCAACTCGTTTATATGACAACACTTCGACTTTTAGAGGGATTCTTCATTTTCTTCAATGTACGTTGAGCTAAACTTCTACAAGAGAAGGCCTACAAACACAAAGCATTCAGTTAAACTTGTTTCCACTCGACCGCAATGAGCTAATGTTTTCGTTCACCCTGACTGACGATATAGTACGCACATTTTTGTTCGTCGAGACTCACATCGACAACCACTCGAATCAGAATACGAAAAATCATTCAAAGTTGTTCAACGTGAATCTAAGTACTTTATAGTCGATAAGAACAGAACCAATGATAGCATTAGCATCGATCGCCTCAAAGCAGCGCATTTAGAAGAAAAAAAGCAAAAATTGAAAATCCACTTTGTAAATAGAATTTTTTTTACGCTATTAAGTGTGTATGAGTTTATTATCCTTTTTTCGCCTGTTAAATGTTTTACGCGCGTACGACTGTATTTCGATATGCACTCACAAAATTTTTTTCTTTTCCAGAACGGCTGGAAAATACGATAAAAATACGTTAAAGTTTACGAGGAACCGAAATTTTCATTGCACCATTTCTTTTTTTTACTATATTGTACGTCATGATATTTTATAGTAAGGAAAGACAACCAGACGCTACTAAACCTAGCAAGTTATCAGAACAGTGTTTTTCAACGACAAAGTCATTGGGTTTAAACTTCTGGCTAGCCACGTCATAGGACCATCACTACCCCACTAGTGAGGATTGATCTGTAGCGGTAAATATATCCCCGAAATAAATAGCTCTGTAAGTCTTCGACAGTGGGTGCTGACCACACTAGCTTTAACGGACTCATCCAGCTGAAGGCGCTCGGTCATGCATCCGCACCAGATCACGAGTGGGAACGCCGTGCTCAACATCTACTGCAATCGCTCACCAGATTGGGCCAAACGATCCTCAATATATTGAGAGCCTATCAAATGTATCTTCGAACCTCCTCTTTCCTGTCTTTTGATATCACTTGGTGGGTACGATTCATAAAAGAAGGTGTTACTGGTTAAAGATTTGTCAAATTTCAAATAACTTTGGCATCTTCAACAGTTTGGCCGTGTAGCGGGGTCTTTCGATTATATCAGACTAACCACAATAAAGTCCAGTAGAATCATGCCTTTATTTCCTGCACGAGGGTTAAACATTACCTTACATTAGAACTTTGTCACAGGGTATCCAGTGACCAGGAATGGGATCTTACAAGACACTTATTAATCAATATCTCTCTGTCAGCGGGGTTTTCCTGTTACAAGAAGCCCTGACATGTTACGAGAGCTATTTCTTGGGACGTTATTTCATTTCATTCAAAGCCTGTAAAACACCAACATTTATTTTTGCACCTGCTCTATTCCACAGAATATAAGCTAACGTTCGATGTATGATTCATTGCCATACCATTTTCTGCTCCGAAGTTGTAATTTAAACACAATATTTTGTACTCTAATTTTTACGCTAATCCCCAGTTTTGGACATGATTGTATTTTCCTAATTGTTGTAAGTTGTGGTCGGGCTAGTCATCTATATATTCATGCACCATTTTATATTAATCTGAAAATCGGGGAAAGATAAAGTAGTGTTCCAGTTGTCTTGTCTTCTCTCACTCTCGTGCTTGTCCACCAATCAGGTGATAGAATATTTTTCTTCTCTCTACCCCACCTCGAACTTAAACGTACTAGCCTCAAGGTTAAACCAGTCAGCTTATTGCGCCAAGGTCTTAATCTATATATATATATTAGACAAGTTATCCTCAGCACTAAAAGTGGGTAGACAGATCAAGGACGTAACAGCTTACCACAAGGGGAACTTGTAAAATAAAACTTAAATTTGGCCGAAATGATTTAAGTCACAGTTCACAAAGTATGATTTCAGTACAAAAAACATACGAAAGTAATGTTAATTCACATCAAGTTTTAAAATAATTGCTCTTCTCATAACATGTGGTGTATGATAAGATGTATAATTTAGTTTGCATAAACTCTCTACACTGAAAATTTAAGATTTTGGGAACCAAATGAGTTGTCACTCTTCGTGCCTCTTCCAACAACTAACTGTTTTTTCTGATAAGGGCTAATCGCTTCTATGCAAGACTCAGGTTTTGTTCCATCTAGCACTATAAAAAGTCGAATAATGCAAAAATCTACGTGTCTAAAGTCTTTACGTACTGACTACAGTTTCCTAGAACTCTTAACACTCAGAGCACGGAGGTTCACAGAGATTTTCAAGTGTTTGAACAAAAGGCAGTCTAAAGATATTCACTATGTCTGTTTTCATACCTTAATGGTAAATGTGCATCAACTGGAAGCACTTATCAGTAATCGATATTTAGGAGTATCTGAATTTCAGTACAAAATATGAATCTAAAAATAACTCAATTTAATTGAGAAGTTCTAGATAAGCACGAACAAGATGTATTTGGAATCCGAAATCAAGCAGTCATCATGTACAAAGAAATCATAAGTTCATATAAGCATTACGTACAGTAAGAATAACACTAGGTCCCAAATTGTACTATAGAGCATTCCAATAAGCACTGTAATAAAAAATGAACCCTTACTGCTTTTTGATGTATGACCAAAAATAGTTCATCCACATGAATATATTAATACAGTACTGATATGGCATCGCCTAGATAATAGCTCGTTGTGTAGAACTTTGACAGCAGCCTTAAACGACAGGTTGTTTTGAGTCTTAAAGAGCACATACACTCTGTCAAGCAACCTACAAGTTCGTAAAACATGGATACCCTGGTCTTTCGGGGAATCAAGTTGTAGTGCCTTTGCTTCGTTAATCTATCATCTCGATAACCGCTGTAATATAAATCTCAACGGTGATTAAAATTAGGAGGCAATTAGAAGCGGCAACTACAGTTTATTAGCAGATAGCTCAGATCACAAAGCCATAAGTATACCAAGCGAATTCGGGGCAGAGAAGTGAATAAGTATATGTGAGCAAATGCAGAGATAAATTTATAGTCAAATCAAATGTAGTGACTGTAATGCAACGTATGTAGGTGAAACATCAAGGCAACTGAATGTAAGAGTGAAAGAACACAAACTATGTTTAAAGCACACTCCTAAATCTTCATTTGAGGTAAGAAAAGTCGAAAAAAATCAGCGATAGAATTACAGTGAATAGAATAGGGTCATACAATTGGTTTCAATGGCACGAGAATCCTTCAAAAAGGCTTTGATTCCTACAAACAAAGACTAAAAGCCGAAGCCTCACATACTTGGGCCAATCCAAAAAGTATTAATAGGAGACATGGAATACAACTACCTGTCCCATGGCAACTAATATTTAATAAGTAAACCTGAACTCCCTTTCCATTCTATCTATATCGCACTAACTAATTAACAGATATTAAATTCAACAATTCAAATCAAATATCATATCTGAATATGTTATACAATTGACTGAAACATAAAAAATGACACAAAATTTCCTCATTGAATTCATTCTTTTATCTTGTTTATATATCTTCATTTAATGCATGCTGTGATATTTTGGATTCATATCCTATATAAAAATTATATTCTTTCCTAATATTCACCGATCGAAGACAATATATAGTGAGTGACATTTCTTCTAACTCACGTATACACACAATCTGTCAACTTAACACTTTTCGTTTCACACCACATGTTTCTTACACACTAATGTAAATACCTACTTTAAACATTGTTAAAGTTGATTGGATGACTTATTCAGTATACTGTAAACCGGAGAATCATGTACTTAATTATATTCTATAATTTTAATGTTTGATCATATTTTCTTGAAAAAACTTAAACTAGATTGCCAGACACAACGTTGGATTTACTTCAAATTCTTTCGCTGAGATTTTACAAATACATCCTCATGAAAATTAAATGTTTTCTTACTAGCAGTCTTTCTTAGAATATTGACTAACAGTCTGGTTAAGGTTTATTTTTCGTATAATGGCGTTCCGCCAGTTCATTTTTAATCTGTTCTGGCCTACAGATATCATGAGATATCTAATCTAGGGACTCACGATAAGGGTTGAGTGTGTCATTAGCAAAAACTTTCATTTCATTCGATCTCAGTGATTTAGTAATGTCGAATTTATTTAACAGACCAGATACATCGAGTTTTTACTAGTCACGGCATTCGAGGTGTGGATACCAGATATTATTTGTACTTGAGCGACAAAAATCTTTATCATACTTAGGCCACCACAAAAGACTGAGAATAACTGATGTTTGCCATAGTCAAATTCCACCGTCGTCATATTACTATTTTTATAGAATGTCGGAATAACGTTCCAGTTTGTCCTTTGGTATACGTTTGAACATAACCGTTTCGGATGTTTTAAAAGATCTCCAAGGAACGTTTCTTCACACCTCCTTAACGACTGGGGAATGAGTCAGAAATATTTCCGACTTTCTAATGTTAAAACCTAATCATCATAAGTCAGTAATCTGTCACCTATATTCGTCTCCTTTCATAGGGAAATGTACAGACCTATCTACGTTTTCGTAAGTCTACTTGGTATCTTCTTAGATACTCACGGAGTTGGAGCCTCTACTCACGAATTCTTGAAAACCTCTCAATCTGTCAATATAAGATCACTTTGTTTTTGATGGAGTTTTGTTCTCTGAGCTGGATGGTTTGGTCGTGGAGCTTTCATCGTTCTTCTGAACGACATCATCAGCACAAACTTCATATAGAAGTGAAGTGTTCGAATTTCTCCATATGCGTTTCACAGCTTGTTCTGTGCACCTCAATGCTCTACGCTACTGAAGACTTTGAATGACACATTAAGGTTGAAATGTAGGCGTTTGGAATCTGTTTATCGACACAAAAATGTTGCTAAAATGCTGAATAAATCAGACATTGTTCCTCATGTCTTCGCAAGGTGCTACATTTGTTTGGTTGCATTGACTCACTAAATTCTCTGGGCAGTATGAATGTTGCACTAGTTGTTATCTAAACCATCAATTTTATCCTTTGACACCTTATTCAGTCGAATGTTGGCATCTCTGTCAATCATCGAATCATGCTTTCACGACCAAGAAATTAATGGCTACCTTTTGCGAACTGTCTAGGCAATAGTAAGCTAACTATTAACTAACATATAGCTTTATTTGATATGGACCAACCACCTATCCGAATATTGCGACGACCATGTCCAGTTCCATCTGACGTTCCTAATACACCACAGAGGTTGGCAATTTTGGTGTAAACTTATATGTTTGTAGGCCACCAATAGTCACAAAAACACTTGAACAAAGGGAAGCAGACTATGCTGCTGCTCGGAAAAGGATTATGGGGTCTGCTACTCCGGAGTCAACTAAGGTAGAAACGAAGGAGTTAATAGAGTAAGTGTAACGGTCTAGTGACAGTGAAGTTTAAGACAGTACTTTTGGTAAACAGTACTGCAGAACTTTTCTAAATTTCATAATTGCTCTGTGATACTCTAAACAATACTAAAGATGCATTTTTCCCACTTCCTACTTATTTTTGTCTCTTCTTGGAACAGGCTAAAGCTTTGTGTTTGTTTTTTCCCTAGTTCAATTCTGCATGCGTGTATTCCTTTGGAAAGGTCTTTCTGAAAAAGAACTCTAAGTCTGTGTACACCGCAATATAACGATCTATCCTCGCTTCCCAAATCGCTCTTTCTTTTGTCTAGTAAGGACCATAGGAGATACAACAAACTTACTGTCAGTCCATGCATTACGAATAACTAGCCTGTAAACATTACAGAATGGTGTAAGCAACTCAAGTTTTTCAGCAATCATAAGTGTTTTGCGGCTTGTATATTTCGTTAATGTTGAGTTAGATACACTAACGATGTTCTTATCGGTCCACCTTAAGGTTCGAAAGCGACTTGTAGCCCTCAAATCTAGTCACGGCTGTACATCAACAGGAATTGATTTCCAAGCCATAAGTTGCCGTGGTCACTGAATAATTGAGTAGAAGCTGGACATAAATATCTTAACACCGACGAACATGCTAAGAATTCCGAGTAGTCCACTTGTTAGCCAAGTTTATCTGCAGATATCATCATGCATTAAAAAACTAAGTGGTCGTTCAATGATGATAACGAGTGCCATCCAGATTTCCAGGTAAAATGACGTTAAACGAACAAAATAAGTATCTCCTCAGCCACTTGGTAAGTTCATATTTTTTATGATAAAGACGGACACACTGATGGAATTGTGATACATAGTTTTGTGATTATCCATTTTAACGTATCAAGAGGTCTTGACAAGGTTGTACTAACCACCTCAAATGAAGCTTTCCATGGACTAGTTTTCATCGGGAAAAAAGTCTAACACGTAGACCCACAAATAGTTTTTTGTTCGGTGATAGTTTATTGAGTTGCACCGAAAGTATGGTTTTCTGAATGTTATGCGGTAACCCCCAAATCCCTTGAGGAGAGTCATCCCTCATTCTGGAAATGCTCTCATGTGGATACGCGTATATAGCCGCTATCAGGAATGTCCTACTCACTGCTTTCTCGTAGTTTGTTTACGAAATTGAGAAAACGAAATGCGAGTGTCCGACACTAACCCGGTGGATGGGTATGGAAGCTCCACCCATTGGAGTTGGGAAACTCTGATCCCACACGAATCTCAATTGATTTGTGTGAGGACTGTGGCGCATATGTATTTGGTGCCTCCTTGTACCAATACCTATGTGTTAAAATAAAATAAATAAATAAAATAACTCTGATCCCAATACACTGATGCGCATGGGCTCCAGGATCCTGAGGGAACAAATGGCGTGTAAATCAATTATTGGTTACTGGCTATCGTGGGACTGCATCTTTCAATGCTGCTCCACTGCCTTGTGAATTATACCTTCAGGCCGAAGACTCGGTGTGTGTAATTACTTGTTTACAAATCTGCCAGGTTTTAAGATCCACTGGTCTTCATACCTAGGTTTTTTCAGACAAGTAGTATGCTTCCTATCTTACGCAAAGTAAAAGTTTCATTAACTCCGTATGTTTTTTTTCAGTGGTTGCAAATAAGTGTTCGCAGTTGTCATATTTACCATCTGTCTTCAATTTCGTCTTATTTCTTGATGTAGGTCTAATCTAGTGAAAATGACAGACGATACCAACAGTTTTATTGCAAAACAGGACAAAGCAATTGCATCCACCATTCCCACGACTCAGAACATGGAGGTTAGTGTTCAAAGTAACTCTTCGGAAATGACAGCCAATCACTTGTTCACTAACCACAGCGGAGTTCAACTTTCCATGTCCCAGAGTAACAAACAGCCTCTGGATATCGGTGTTGGTCGAAAGCCTCAACAACATTCACATTCTACATTAAACGGCGTTCGGCAGAATTTACAACAGCGCAGTGCAACAGTGACTGCCAATAGATTATCTTATATTCCTCCCCATCCTCCTCTTTTTTCTTTTCAAACTGGGTACAATAATGTTGGCCTTCTTCCTACTCCGCCTGGCTTTCAATGTTCACTTCCAACTGAAACGAATGGTAGTCTTCAGCAAACGACTGCCTTCGCTTTGATGCACCAATTTAGTTTACTACAACAACAATATCAACATACTTTAACTGGCATTCAAAAGCAGTTAGTTTCTTCTGGATCACACTCGTCCAACAGTTTTAATCCTTTGAACTTTTCATCGTTTTCCCAGCCTAACATCAACCAGAAGTAAGTTTCATCAACGTTTTTATCCTGTACACAGAAACTAATATCGTTAGTTGAATTCTGTGATAGGTTGTAAGCTTTTTATTTATTTGAACACATAAATATTGGTACAAGGGGGCACCAAATATATATGCGCCACACATGTTTTAGTGTGTCAGCTAAGATACTGCTCGGGTACCCAGACTGAAGCAGGTGGTTTTCCTAGGAGGCCACACCCCGAGCCTTCGACCTGAAGGTCTAACCCACAAGGCAGTGAAGCGTCGTCAGGAGATACAGTCCCATGGAAGCCGGTGACCAAGAAATTGATTCATACGCCATTTGTTCCCGCAGGATACTGGAGCCCATATGCATCATTGATTTGGGATCCGGTTATAGCGCCGGACATTGGTTGTAAGCTCCACTTATCAGCCAACTGCCGTCAAACGAGTTTATTTTTTTGTTGTTACTATAGTTCCTGAGAATTGATTATTCTGTGTTTGTACCATTTGGTACAAAATCTTATTCTATGGAACCTAATCTGAGTGAAACACTTTTTCTACATATTTACGTGCTCTTCAATTCATGATTTGAACACATGTTTGTCAATATTTTATTTTCAGATATACCCACCCTTCAACTTTCAATTGATTTAGATTTGCAATAGTCAGCATGTGAACATGTACTTTTTTCCATTTCAAATGGGGTTTCGTAGATGTACGACTTAATGCAATAACTTTAACCACTCTTTGCTTTTGATAATTTTGCGGTCTGGTGCCATACTCAGCTTGTGCTGTGACATTTTGTTCAACATATATATTCATGTTTCTGTATAAATAAAGTGCTTAGAAAACACATACTGTCTTTTTTTTCGTGCATATCTTCAGTATCGGATGCATTCTCCGAATACATCTTGCTTTAATTTTCCCTTACATTAAAGCTAAGAATTGTTTTTCCACATACAGGTGTGCTCAGTTTGTGCAATCACATAAATCTTTTATAATGTTAGATTATTCGATGGCTTTATAATTGTAGGGTGTTTGTGTTCAGCACCTGTAAGGTTCGTCAATTTATTACTTAATCTATTTTTTACGCTTACTAGGATTTGTCTTTAGTCTTCATACCATTTAACATAAAAAAACTAGGAACACGTGCAACATTAAACTTTCCAATCCGTAGAGACTACTACGAAGCAAATGAAGCACGGCAAATTTAAAGTATGCTTGGATATAATTCTCCTTATTACTGAGGTGCCACTAAGACGCTGAACAGTTGTGATTATTGCAACTATTGGTTCGTGACTTTGCATGACATGGCTCTAGATAGCTTGAGTAGATCTACTATCTTCTCTTTGACCTTCAGTTTATAAATTACCGACGTCCGGTTCTTCGTTGTGCTTGACTGAAGAACTGGTTAGTCCCTGACTGTTAATCGGTGTCATGGCGGTTCAAATCAACCTTTGACGATATCACAGTTTACCAAACTTCCTGAAGAACCTTGTGTTTTACTCACTAGTGATCGGCGTCTCAAGCGATACGATTACGATCCCAATGTACACCAGGTGATCTACTGATAATAATGGTTGGATAAACCATCACTAGCATTCACTGACAGTCTTGTTCTGTAACTCCCACATCTCAGACTTCATATTAGTCAGTCACAGTGGTGTTATGAAGTAATAACTTGCAACCATGTAATTGCGCACAACTATGAACGCATCAGTAAACTTTCTCAGTACTTCTGTTCGTACTACTAAGTGCCGAATGATCAGGATCTGTACGAACATTTGGCAGTTTTGTGACCAGGCCCAGGTTTTTTGCTAGCCATCGATAATCTTGTCATCAGTTATGCATTCTTTAATACTGGATCAAAAATCCTAGGTTTGTGTAATTAGCCCGGTCATACAGCTCGGTTGTCTTACCCACCCATGATTAGTATTGTTCGATCTGGCCATTGTATCTCTTAGGCCCTACTGAAAATGCCATCTTTAAAGCACTAAGTCGTTGGGAAAGACCGCCTGGTATGTGGGGTCCACTGGATTGATTGACGCTTGAAGATAGGCCCCATGCTGCGAATATTATAAGTTGCAAAGACACAACCGTAAACCAACAATGAATCTGTGCAGTAATTGTGATAAGTGATGGGGTGAGAAAAAGGCGTCGACGATCGGAAACGCCAAACAACCCGAGCCTATCAGGCAAATATCTAAAAAGCCAATGAGACTATCCCTAAGAAATTCCGCACCGTGACCTCAACCCAGATGATGGGAACAACAGGCGGAGCATCTTGAGCTGTTCAGATGACCTCCGGCTTCCTACTATTAACAGACAAAGTTCATAGGAGGTCAACATAAGTCCATAGCTAAGGACATTAAGAAGGCTATAGCCAGTATAAGAGTATGCATCCATGGTGAACTAACTTCGATATCTATGGGGATAGCGGTCTAGTTTTATCGGTTGGCACCAGCCAGTCACATGCAATATGAAACCTGACATGTGTTTGGCTCAAGTTATCATTCCTTACTAGCATTGCGAGATGAAACTACTACAACAAATACAGTAGCGCGTTGGCATCAGTACAAACAGAAAAATATAGTTCTAGGAAAATGTCTAAGGTTTCGAGACTCAGTTTCTAGGAATGAATGCACCTACACCATTATAAACGATTCTAAGCCATACCACTCGGGATTTCCAATCACTTGTTACGATGATCGCGTGAATCTGAACAACTCAGTCTGCACGTAAATATACGCTTCTGTCCAACAGTCAAGAAACCCAAAGACTTATGCTTCGTCTTAGTTTGGCCTCGTCAAGTTACCAATCTGCTCTTACACCAGGAATCATCGTGCGGTGAGGTAGGTGGTGGCTAGACGTATGCAACATGTCCCAACCATAACTGAGGAAGATTCGCTCACTCACCAACTGGTTTTCCATCCATACCTAGTACTCTGTATCTAACCTTAGAAATGATAACTCGACAGTCCTAAGATATACTAGCAATGGTATGGAGGCATGTTTGGTCGAATACTGACAACCTACGATTTCAAACTTCATGTTTCTTATTAGCAAAGCCAACCAGTGAGCAGCAAACTCGTCCTTTGGTTGACAGACGGATATCTCACCTAGTCTACAGGTGACGAAAATTGACGAAGGCTAACTGAGCTTTCTGATTCCTTGTCGACATTTTGTCGGACACCAAACCCTCAGGACTAATGAAAATTCCACAATAAGCGAAGCTCAAATACTGCATTCCCTTTTGCCGGTTCAGACGTTGTTGTAGACCAGTCCTGAAGCAATAGTTTGCATTTATAGTGAGATGAACGCATTCCAAACATGTACTGCTGCTTCTGGTGGTTGGACGACCCCACATTTTGTAAGCATCTTCACCATGTAAGACTGTCATCTGCATAATCTCAGTCGACAAGTTATCATCTGGTGGTAGATCAACCCCTAAAATATCAAGAGAAACTTTATTTCTGATAGATCTATGGAGAAATTAAAAACACAGATAGTGGACAAACATGCCGAATACCACTCACTATTAACAGTACGCCGTAAGCTCATACTTAACTAGTAGTGTTTGACAAAATTTTATACAAGCTTAATGTACTTCTTTGGTATGCTTTTGAATGGCAAACTTCGACACAGAAAATTTCATTCTACATAGTCAAGTACTGCCTTGGGGTTAAGAAATATGACTGTAGCTAGATATCGGGAAGTATGTCTATTTTCTAAAACCTGACGATAGGCGAATATTTTGTCTGAACATCATCGCTCAGGTCTGTAACCAAATGAGCTTTCGGATGGTTGTTGAGGCGAATAATTTTGATAATATATATTTAGAGGACAGTCAATATTGATACATGGCTAAGTGTCTTATTTCCTACTTATCATCAATACAATTTTTTATAATATTCGCGTTCATTATGGCTCAATATGCTTGAAAAGTAATTCACATTACATTATCAGTCTTCAGTAATAAGGATATGTTGGGGACGGTAGATCCTCAAAAACTCATAGTTTGTAATTTATCTTGTGGAGCTTGTATGCACATGTATACGTGGGCATTTCTTACCGCCCATGCACATAGTTGATTGACGAAATAATCGATTAAATGTTTAAATATTTCAATGGCAGTCAATCGACGAACTATCGATTAAATGTTTCAAAGCTCCATGACAATATCGATGTATATATAATTGTATATATACGTTTTGAAATTGTCTTGTAAAAAAAGTGTTGCTGGTTTTCTGGTGGTTGCAGAATATATTTCATTCCAAGCTTGGTCTTCTCCCTCTAGATAGCGGGCTGGGACGCGTCAATAGATAGCTTACTGGTCGTTGGTCACTGAATCTCGTTCTCGTTCACAAACTACGTGAACCCGTGATCTCTCTCTCTCTTTCAAAACCTAACAGAATAAGAGGTCTATCAACCTATATTAATCCTTGCAGTTTGTAATACTGTGGAGGTTTAATCTAGTTTTGAATGTATCAACAGATGGTGTTGATATTGCGTGTTCCGGTAGAGAATTCCAGTAATTCATTACTCGGTGCGAGAAATCGTTCTGCTTTTACTATATCGATAAGTTACATACATATTTTATCTGTATATCAATAATATTTGAGAATTTTATATTTATAAATATATTTCAGAGACAGTTTAATTATAATATCATCATAATCTATCAATAAAGACCTTAAAAACATCACATTCTTTAGAGATTTAATGAATATCTGGATTTTCGTAGTTTACGTCTCCAATAATAATTAGTTGAATGTATGCTAGACTCAGTCTTGGAGGTAGGCTTCCTTATTATATAAAATAGACTCAAGTTTAGAATTAACATTTAGACTAAAGAAGTACTTAGATAGGTCTTGAAAATGTATTCTATCTATATGGGAATATGTACAGTAAAATAATTATTATGCTTTAAGTGTGAAATAATTCAGCTAACGCTATTCAACGAAATCCCTGCATAAAATCAGGAAAAATCTCGACGATAGTATATAATTTTTTCATCAAACTCTAATCACTTAATATTCGAACAGAGTCTTTCATTTTGATGGTTTTGTTAATGTTTGGTATTTCTTCGCTCCAACGCGAGTTCATTTTCTCCCTTAAATAGATTTCTAGAACATCGTAACAGAAATCGAATTGAAACCAGTTTTCAAGAACCTAGAAGAATTTTGAACATTAGAATAAGGTGTCTGAGCAGTGATTAGATAATCGCGATTCCAACAGTTACCAACTACGTTTTTAAGTAAGTTATCAGGATAGTTTTCAGCAGTAACATAAGTGCACTTATGAATACGAAAGGTATTATTTATTTTCTGGAATAAAGAAAGCATTGGATGTACAGTATTATCATGATTTATTGTGAAATACTAAATACAATCCTTATTTTCATATTCACTAAAAAAAATTGCGACGTACTAAGACAAAGACCCAATATGACCGAAACTTTTCATTTGAAGTTTGGCATTACGAAACGGGGATGATTTCAATAAGTGAGATGTCGAGTCGTACTCACTTATGTATTGTATTTTATTTATTTTAACACATAGATATTGGTACAGGGAGGTACCAAATACATACGCGCCACACAAATCTCATTTGATATGTGTGAGGGCTGTGATACTGTCCGGATACCCAGACCGAAGCAGGTGGTTTTCTTAGGGGACCACACCCGGAGCCTTTGACCTGAACGTCTGATCCACAAGGCAATGGAGCATCGTAAGGAGATGCAGTCCCATGGTAGCCGGTGACCAACGATTGGTTCATACGCCATTTGTTCCTTCAAGATACTGGAGCTAGTCCATATACATCATTGGTTTGGGATCCATTTATAGCGCCGGA